CGCAGTCGATCCACACACGGACAAACACAATCAAAACAAGCCGTGGATGAGCAAATTGGAAACGATCATGCGGACGAGCAGCCTCACAAACTAGAACCTGCCGTCACAAGCTTGATGACCGCGAATCTAACCACGATGGACAGTAACATCGCAACATCTTGCACGTGTAGGGTAGGTCCAGCACCGGCACCTGCACAGCAACCTTGAGGAAAAGAATAAAACATTATTGCCACACTTCCAGATGTCGCATAGGAAGATATGACAGACGTAGCACTTGCAGGGATTGCGTAGAAAGTTCAACCAGTTTAGAGCATGAAACTCTTAATTTCATGAACCCTATCTATCACCGATTGTTACCGATTGTTACCGTTTGCTGCTGCTGCGTTGTTGCCTGTCCCTACAAGCTCTGGCACTCACTGATTGAGCAATCACCGGTGACAAGGTGCGGATTTGATCAGTGGGGGAGCAGTGCACAGTCCAGCGGGAGTCTCGTACTAGTCAGTCCAGCTACGTGTGAGTAAACGAACGTAGTCTTCCAAAGAATCAACAAAAAGGTTTACCGAAGAAGTTTCGCAGCTGTCGGAGGAGACATGGTCTATCGTGATTCGGCTAGTTTCCATCGATGGGTCCGTCGATGTCGATTTCCTGCTCACGATGATGAAGAAGAAGGCGAAGCAATTTTGCGGAGGATATTGAGGAATTTGTTGTCGAATGATGCTTTTGATGTGTGTATGTATGTATGTATGTATGTATGAATGGATGGATCACAGCGATTCTGTACGTAAGTTTCGTATTTTCCTGTGTAGTATATACGTACTGACAAGTGTGTGTGTATTAGTGGTGACGTTTGGCTGTTGGATCCCACATCGTATCCTTCTCAATGGATTGTGTCTTTTTGGCACTGAAAAAAACAAGATTCAGAAATAGAAGCTTAGAAAAATAAAAATCGTTTTTGTCTTCCTTGCAACATTGTTCATTTAAAGTTTTATTCTTTCAAATTAAAGGTTTTTCAATCTTCTTGTTTTATTTTTGAAGTATTTTAGCTTTAGAAGGGATGGAGGTCAGAGGAGGAAGAAGAAAAAAATAAAAATAGAACCATTCACTTACATTTTTTTTAATTTTACAATGCTAATTACTACCTAAATTGAAAAGGTAAGTTGAAACTTATAGATTACCAAATTGGCTAATAATTTGAGACAATATACAATAGCCAAATGTTTTAAGTATTATATATATATATATATATATATATACATATTTGTATAGGGAGTTGATAAAGCTACACTCTAATGTTTTTAAAGCCATACCCCCCTCCTTGCCATCTCATCATTAATTTTGTTTATCTTCCATTTCCATCTCTCATTTCTAGTCCTCCAACTTTTGTTCCCAATACCCGTTTCCCAATTCTTAGTTCCCATTCTCGAGTCTTTCATTACCCAATCTACTACTCCTAATCCTCTTATCCATCGTTTCCATTTCTAAATTATCTATTCCTTAATCTCATGGTATTTGATATTTTTACTTTCATCATCTCATACCACATATTTCATAAACAATGAAATCTTATACAAACTTTTTCAAACAACTAAAATCAATGTATAATATGCTAGTTTATGGAAAACAGACAAATTTTTGGTTTGAAGTCTTCAAAATTTAGCACCACAAATTTGTAAGTGTACATACAAACTTTCTAATTTATAAAAATGCTCTATCTTCTACTTTTACATCATTTATTTGCATGAAATTATTTATATTAAATTAAATTATTCATTAATATTTATATATTCACTCACATACATACATACATACATAAAATATTTCTATAGAAATGAGTTTAATATCATATGTTTAAACTTGTAAAAGCAGAAAGAAAGAAAAAATCTTGAAATGCAAAATTATTTATTTCGATCAATTTATTTTTTAAAAATAAATTTCTATATAATCCCTTTATCTTTCTTCATATTGAAAATTAAAGAGATTACACTAAATTGATGCACTATGAAATTGACGTTATTAAATACTATTTTAATGAAATAAAGAAATATAAAGCAAAAAAAATGTATTTATTTTTTAATATGTATATTTATAATAGCAAAAACTTAAAGACAATTGAAGTGAGTGTATAAATAAATAAATAAATATATATATATATATATATATATATTATATTTTTATAATTAGTGTATATTTTTGTAATACTTGAGACTAAAATAATGTTAAAAAAGAATCATTAAAATTGTAGTATTGATTTTAGTTAGTCTTTTGTAATCATTTTAAAAAATTCGTTTTTCATATTTGAATCTTTAAATATATTTTTATTATTTTATTTTTTAAAAAATAATTTAAAAATATTTATTGCATTTAGTAGTAGAATTTTAAAATATTTATAATAATTTTATGTTTTATAAATCATTTTAAAATGATATAATGAAATTAAAAAAATCAAATATAAAAGAACTAGAGAATATAGAATTTAAGTGCCATAATTAGTTTTTCTTAATTAACATCCAAAATATTCATTTGGAAAAATTCCTTAAAATAAGGGATAGGCTTTGGAAACAAGAGATTGGAAAATAGGAGATTGGAGGATTAGGAAGGGAGGACTGAAGCAAATAGTTTGGAAATGAGAAACAGAGGACTAGAAAATAGGAGATTGGAGAATAATAGATTAGAGGACTAGGAAGGAAGAACTAGGGAACAATGAATTAGAGGGCTAATAAGGAGGGACTTCAAAACAAGGGTTGGGAACAAGAGATTTGAAACTAAAGAACATGAGTTGAGAACGAGAGATTTGGGATTGAAAAACATGAGTTGAAAACAAGAGACTTGAGACTAGAAAATAGGGATTGGAAATGAAAGATGGAGAACTAGAAAAAAAAGGATAAAGGAGCTAGGAAGGAGGGATTGGAGAATGAAAGATTGGAGTGTGGGTTTATCAATTCTTAAATACATATAATTTTTAGAATAAAAATACTTGAAAAAAATATATTTGAAACTTTAATAATATATATTTTATTTAATTTGCTATTAAAATAAAATTTTATGTAAATAATAAATGAGATAATAAATAAAAAATTTATCTAAAGAATGATTCTTTTTTAAAATTGAAATTTCTTATTATAAATTGGTATGAAAAGAAAAAGAATTAAAAATAGAAAAAAAAGAGATAAAGAGATATAAAAGAAAATTGATATTTAATGCCAAAAAGAACATTATAATGAAACAAAAAACTTTAAGTATTGTAAAGTGATGCAAAGAACTGAAGAATCTTAATGTTGTAAGGTTGTTTAGAAAAATCTTGAAGGTACTCTAAAACATGTTATAAATTTGTTCAATTCATTGAATTTTTCAAGTTCTTCATATAATTTGGAAAATTTCTAAGCTAAAGTCTTAACATGATATTGTATCATGAGAAATCCTAAAATATTTATTAAGTTTCTAAAGAAGTCTCAAAGATGTAGTTATAATTTGTTACTAAAATTTATAGATGATATCTATTATAAGAAATAATCTTATTATATTGCCTTATAGATTATTCTAAAGAAAAAATATAAGATAATTTAATATTATGCCAACGATTATAAATGGATATTTTTTTAATTTAAAAATATATTATATAAAATATTCAACTATATTATTGTGTATCAAAGAGAATTTAAAGTATACATCATGAAAAATACTTAAAAATAGCATTTCTACTTTTGAAAAAATAATGTAGAAAATTTGTTTTAGAAAAGTGAAGTTCAATATAATATTTTCTTTGTACAAGTATAGATTTTATTCCTACTCTTAAACAAGCTAAATAAGAGCCTTATTTGAAGAAATATATAAGTAGAATAAGTTTATGCTACATTTGCTACTATCTAAGTTCATCTTATAGACCATATGGCTATTAAAGAGAGCCTCACAAACTAATACAAGTTTTGCAACTATTGTAATCTTTGCCACATTCAAAATCATGCATCAAAAGAATAATCCAAACTTGCCTATTGTCCAAAGTAGCAAGCAAGCATTAGGCACATAATGGATTGGTAAAAATCCTATGTAGATCATAACCAAGGCTAGCATCTTAGGATTCAAATCTTTGAGGAGCATCTAATAGAGATAGGACGAAGAGGACAATTAATTTTGGATTTATAAAATGTAAGTGGAATTATGTTTTGTAATCAAGTACTTAAAACAATAATAAAGACAAAAATGGAGCACCAATCAACATATTAGATAACATATAAATGTTATATATAGATGAATCTAGATAGGGTTTAGAAGTCCCAAAGTAAAGATTGCAAATATTGTACTGATATATATATATATATATATAGGATTGATAAAGCGACCCAAATCTTTACTAAAGTGACCCACTCTATCTTAAGCATCATTACACCCTTAGAACTCCCATTCCTATTTCTAGCCGTTCCTTGTTCCTCACTGTTATTAAGGATGGGGGTGGGGAGCTGGGAACATCAGGAATGGGTGCAGCAGTTGGAAACCAAAGAATGGCTCGGAACTAGGGAATAGCTAGGAATAGAGCATGTGAATTGACTTAGTAAAAAATTGGGTTGCTTAATCATTTCCCTATATATACATATGTATGTGTATAAAGATTAGATCTTCAATTAAGAAAACAGGCATTTGTTTGTAACAAATTTTTAGTGCATTTTACAAAAATCAACAATGCTTATATCTACAAAAGCACACATAACAGCAAATGTCTTGAATATATATTATGAGATAATGCTTTAAAGAATTATAGATTTTCCACCTTTTTATTTTTCATTCTCTTAATAATAGTGTTAATAAAAAGGTGGAAAGTCTCTTAAGGATGGGGGTGGGGAGCTGGGAACTTTTTTTTGATAGCAGAACAAATGTATCATTTTCTGAATATAGAATATAATTACGATAAAATAAAGACCATTTTCGTGTACATTCTCTCAATAAACTGAGTTTGACGTGAAGCTTGACGTCTGTCTTACCAATTCATTTCAGCTGAGCTCGCCCACTGTCATAAAAAATCACTAATTATGTTTATGTAGTGTACAAAGTTTAACTACTTATCCACATTTACATTCAGCATCGCTTCCCTTCTCTAAAATGGCTCATTCTTATGTTAACTTTTTACTGATGGGCTTTTTCAGTTCTTGTCATATAACCAGACACCTTGTTAGCCTTGTGAGCCCCAGACTAATCCAGATAATCATGCCTCAAGTGTCCAACTTGGACCAAGCCTTAAAGGGAGGGCCTTACCACAGCAAGAGGCTTGAAGTAAGAGAACAGCCAAAGCTCTACATGCTCACGTCCTTCGAAAGTAAGCGTTCAAAAATGAGATGAATAATACAATCGCCTACACTTGTCGACTAACTAAATATTCTCGAATGAATAAACTAATGCAACTGCAACCAACTTTACTTTCCCGGCTTTCCAGCTTTCCTCTTAAGTGATCGTACCAAAGACGATAGTTCAGCTTTTCTCTTACGATCCTTCGAGCCCTGAGCGGCATCATCAATCTCAGGGTTCAAGTCACCAGATCCAGTATTTTCAACCTTAGAGACTCCACCATCTTCAGATTTCTGCATACGTCTTCGTTGGGCTTCTGCTAGAATTTTAAGTTGAGCGGCAGACTTCCGAAACTGCGGATTGGTAGGGTCAATGGCGTAGTGATGATTGTTAAAAAGAGGTGCAAACCGTGGATCAGTCAAATCTGCAGAGGCCAATTTGTCGTCTTCCTGGTCATCGTCGTCTTTCCCACCTTTTTTCGACTTCCCTTTGCCCTTTTTCTTACTCTTAAGATTGAAACCCCGCGCTGCACCCTGTATCCCTTCGTCATCCATGAGAAGAAGCTCTAATTCGGCCTTTGTCCTCTCCTTTTCCTTCTTCTGCTGCTCCTTTTCTTCTCTTTTCTTTAATCTATCAGAATCGGCCGATTGCTTAGCCTTGCTCTTCTTTGGTGCTGCCTTTGATTCGTCTGGGAATTCATCAGCCTCAGCAAAAAAAGGATCATCAAACCCATTATCATCATCTGCTGCTCCCTGTTCTACGCGTGGACTGGCAATATCCTCGTCAGAGGAATAATCATCATCAGAGTTCTTTGCATTCTTACTCCGTTTCTTCTGAGATTTCTTTTCTTTTTTCTTTCGTAAATAAGCTTCCCATACAGTCTCATCACCACGTTTTTTAGCCTCTTTTTTCTGCAATAGCTTTTCACTAAGTTCAGATAATCCTGTGTGGAAGGTCACCTCCATGTCCACATCCCCTTTCTTTTTCTTCTGTCCATGTGGCTCGACCTCCTCTGTAGAATCCCCGAGTAGTAAAGAACGGTACTTGTCCTTTTTCGACGTGGCTCCTGAATATGCATCATTAGAGGCAGTGCCTCGCTCCGGACTGCTTGGACTCTCACCTTCATCAAGTTCTTCCGACGATGCTGATGCAAGGTAGTCTCTGTAGTGAGAAAGCAATTTCAGCATTAGAATTCCAGCTCTTAAAACACAACTTGGGTGGCATGTTTTGTAATCGTTGATCCTGTACATCTGAATTAATCTCATTACGTAAAAGAGTAGTTCTACAGTACTGAGAATATATATACACCAACAACAGCTAAATAATTACAGAAGGTAAAGCAAATAAGCCTTAAGGTACACCTGAAATCCATTTCATTCAGTTCGTCTGCATTGAACTTTTTCCGCAATGCCTTCACTCGTGTTGGTTCGTCATCGTCCCATGTCAGTTTCACAGTGCTATGTTGCAGCGCTCGTGTCTCAAACTCAGGAGCTTTGTACCCCTCTTGGGGCACCTCCTTGGCAACATCTCGGGGCTCTCTCACGAATTTCATGTCATCAGGAATGAATCGAAGATCAAGGGTGTTCGATGTCCGCTCAAACTCCATACCATCACATTGCGTGTACAAATGGTTGGCAGTTTCTTTTGTGTCACACTCAACTACAGCATAGTAGTACTTAAGCTTGTTTCTCTCATATGCACGAAGCTTCTCCATGTTCACTTCCTTGTCCTCGTCCTCATCGTCGTCATCATCATCGAAGATCATATTAGGACCATGCGCCTGGCACGTACGTAACACACAAAATCATATTATTCCTACTGGATAAACCATTATTAAACCACTATTGAATCACAAGTTAATGGCAACACGCAGTTTGGCCCTTTAATGGAACTCAGCAGCTCCACAACATGGTGTCCAGTAGACTGCAAATGTAACTCAAGTCCCAGTTAAGCTCCAATTCGTTAACAAACTAGTGACTCGTTGAAAATACAAAGAAAACGAAATTGGACTTTTGATGTACAAGGTCTACCGTGATATGAATTATTCTGAAGAACTCCTGGTCAACAAGGGAAATAACCCATATACTCAAGAGCTAGGCACAAACCTCCTCTGCCTTCATTTGTTCGATGCCAAACTCCGAGGGGTAAATAGTTACGCATTCAACATTTCCACACTTTGGCTGGAAGGACCGCATCAGCATTAACAAGTCTACGGCCTTGATATGGTCCCAATCCATGTTCATCATTGCAATTCTCCGAGTCTCTGCACCTGAAGCTGTCGGAACCTTTTCCTCCTCCCTAGGGTCGTCAATCTCATCCTCTGCCTCACTTTCCGACGATGAACTGGAAGAAGAGGATTCTGCATCGCTAGCGGATACATCATCTTCATCATCTTCCTCTTCCTCAGAAACACTATCCTGCTCCGCAATAGAAACTTTGGCGGTTCTAGACTTTCTACCAGTGTTTATTTCTAAATCCTCTTCCTCATCGCTATTCAGATTAATTTCGTCGGCACTATCTTCTTCCTCGTCACTCTCTTCCTCATCACTCTCTTCCACAACAAGCCTAGAGGGTTTTGGTCTAGCTAATTTCTTTCCGTCCACACTCTTCACAGCCTTTCTGCCCGCAACCTTCCCTTTCAACGTCGGATTAACAACAGAGTCCTCATCGCTCTCATCGCCACTGTCCTCGTCATCACTTACTTCCAAACCGAGCTTTGAAGGTGCTACAGGCCCTGGGAATTTAGGCCCAGTTACAATCTTACTCTTCGCCTTCTCACCTCCTTGCTTTCCTTGCAAAGCCTTGATCGATGTTTTGCTCCCGTCCTTGCCTTTAGACTTCGTCTTCTCCACAGTCTCTTCACCACTGCTTCCATCGACTTCTGCGTTCCCCTCAGCTTCATCCTCGTCTTCACCTACCTTGTAATACCGCTGCAACATGTGCTTCTCCTTCTTCTTCTTCGCACGTCCTCTCTTATCCGCCCCTAACGGATCAGAAAAATTCTTGTCCGAAAACATGTGCGAGAAACGCTTATCAATCGACACCTTCGTCTTATTTGTCGGCATACGCATGAACCGAGGGTCCGTATGTACCCTAGCAAACCTCGGGTCAGATATGGTCGCAGGCGCAGGCCCGCCGCTGCCATCCTTGTTCTTCTTCATGATTCCAAACCACGCCAAACTGCGAAACAACAAAGCTTCACCAGAATCATTCACCACCTTTCCGCTAACACGAGACACAAGACCTCAGTACCTTCAAAGGAACAACACAACAGGTCGCAAACAACCAATTCAATTCCGGGATTACTGCCAAGACATTACTCTCGAACATAAGAGCCCCTGTAAAATCTCACACTCCGGCTCTGGTGTCAACTAAGCGCCGGCAGTGAACCCGAAGGCTACCCTAAAACATAAGCCCTAAACCCAGGAACCAAACCTCTAACATCTGCGAACAATTCACCCTCCAGTACTTGACAAGAAGACGCCTCGGCAACCGGCGGCCACCAGTTACCCCGTCCTTTGCGACCGGTGATCACCAGTATTGAGAGCTCTGTTCACGCTTGCACGAGTTGGCGTGTGAACCTCTCTCACGTGAGTTTCATGAAGACATTTTGTATTTCATGAATGACATTTACTGCAGAAATATTGTAAAAAGAAATGATTTTGGTTATTACCTGATGTGGTATATTCAAATCTTACATAAAATGCGAAGCCAATTGAGGTTGAAGTGTGTGTGAATGAATATAGTATTCTTTTTCTTCTAAAATTGATACTAATTTGATCAAATTCTTAGTATAGAAGATGTAGACCAATTTGACATTAATTTTCTACCATCACAAGAATTTGAGATAATCTCTATGCTGGTGGATTACCTTAATAAATTGATGTCTTAGAAAAAAGTAGTATTTTAAATTATGATTCTAGAATATTTTTTTAATCAAATATAAATATAAAGCTATTTTTAGAAACTATGTTCTTACATCTTAAAAATAAAAAATATATAATATTAAAATCAAACTATTATAAGCTATACAATTATTGCCATAAATATACAACAAATTATAATCATAAAAGCATTGATGAATATTATAAAATCTTATAAATAATTATTCTATTTTTCATTCATTTAAAAAGTTAAACAACTTTTTTGAATTTTTCAAAATGTTTTATGAATCTATACTAATTTAAATAAATATTAAGAAGAAAGAAACAACCTTTTAAAAAATATATCATTTTAGAATATGAATGTATTTGATAGATTATTTTTAAATACAATAAAATCATAGAATTTTTAATAAGAAATAAAATAATAAAATAAAAAATGATATAAAATCTTTTTAAAACTATGAGGTTTGTAGGCCAAATATCTAACTTGCAAAAGAATTAAATACAAACTTTCTAGATGTAAGGAACTTTAATATTTTATTTACAATCTCTAAGAATTATAAATTATTAAGATTTATTGAATGAAATCTTTATTTTTTTCAAAGATCATTAATAAATATAGCTAGATGAATTTGATTAATAATTTTTTATTCAAATTTATAATGTATATATAAAATATCTATTTAGTAAGTATTTGTGCTTGAAATGATGAAACTTAAATTAATCTTGATAAAAATATTCCTATATGAATAAGTCTTAAATTTTTAAATATTACAACTATTTCCAAAAATAAATTAAGCATATAATATATAATTATTTAATCTAGTTAATAATTTGAAGGAATTACATTTGTACAAACATAATATAAAATTCAATCTAAGAAATATATATATATATATATATATATATATATATATATATATATATTTTTCATTCTATATACTAAAAAGTTAAGTGTGAATAAAAATGAATGCTTACTAAAATATAAAGTGAAGTTCAATCCACATTAAAAGTTAACAATTATAGTATTTTGCAAAATGGGTTCCATTATCATTTACAAATAGAAAAATTCTAAAATCAGCATTATTGTGATTAAAAATAAATAAAATTCTATAATCCATACTCTTTCTTTAAAAGAAGAAGAAGAAGAAGAGTTTTCTTCATAGTATTTTCTTTTATATTGTTTGTGAATGATTTCTTTCTTTAGGAGATATATTGTGGTCTTTTTAGCTTATACTAGTTTCATTAAAGCTAAAGCTTAGACTGGCACCAAGCTCGTGATCCTTAAGATGGATGAATATAAAATAATTCTACAATTATTTTTTTAAAGTCACACAAATTTGTCCACGATCCTAAAAAAATGTAATAGAGCATTAAAATCATTTCAGCTGTGAGATGGCATGATATATGACATAAAATCACAAATTTAGCTTTATTTTTTTTAGAGGCAATGGAATTGAGCTACTATTCCTATGTCTTATCTTTTATAGATAGAATTCATCCAATCATTCCATCTATCATAACTAAAATTCTCTCAATTGGCTTAATTAGTGGTATAGTATGATTAAATTAGCACCTTAATATAAACTATTCTAAATATTTCATATATTATAATATTTATTTATAAATCAATATTATTTTTATATAATTTATTGTTTCATACATGCATCAACATATAAACTATTATCATATGGTGACATGAATCTTAGAGAACTAAAACATCAATACATTCTTACGTCACTCAAAAAGACTAAAAAATCATTCAAAGATCTTATAATATTAAACTATAATGGCTATACCAAAGACAAAATGATTAGAAAGTCTTGAAATAAGACTAAAAATTAGTAAGCCATTGATAAGAGTGAAAAAGGCTTCATTCTTGTTTCCATAAATATATATGTATATATATATATAATCTAATTAGGAATTACATGAGAACATTATATAGGATATCTAACATGTATTTAATTTACAAGAAGAATGTATTAACTTTCAAGATAAGTTTTCTATATACATACTATATTATTAGCTTGTACCACAAGTTATCTATACATATGATACATAGCTAATTTATTAGCCAAGTTTATAACCTACCAATTAATTATAAACATGTATAAAATCAAATATGTATCTATGAAGCTTTTAGGAAGTTTTGCCATAAGACAATATCAAATCTACCTACATTTATCTTTTACTTAACACTTTTTATCTAGATAAATAAGAATGTTCACAACATCACCTCTTTTCCATTTCTTTTAGAAATAAGTTCTATGAGGAGAAATCATCATATGTTCAAAAAGTACAAGATACAATAAATTGTATTTGCCGCATACTTTGATCTTTGTTCTCTTTGAAGGTGATTGATAGGTCTTTTTAGCCATCAATATTCTTTCATATAAGGGCAAAAAGACCACCCTATTATTTAATTATTATTGAAACCTTCATAACTTTCTGTTAGGGACATAGTCCTTAGAACCTTCTAGAGACAAGTTTCTAGAACCTTCTAGAGACAAGCTTCTAGAACCTTCTAGAGACAAGCTTCTAGAACCTTCTAGAGACAAGCTTCTAGAACCTTCTAGAGACAAGCTTCTAGAACCTTCTAGAAGCAAGTCTCTGGAATCTTCTAGAAGCTTCTTAGTTGATAGAAGATGTTAGGGACATAGTCCTTAGAACCTTCTAGAGATAAGTTTCTAGAACCTTCTAGAAGCAAGTCTCTGGAACCTTCTAGAAGCTTCGTAGTTGATAGAAGTTGCTTGAGAAGCTTCCTAAATAGGAGTATATATTGGAATCGAGGTTGAAGAGTTCTTCAGTCTTGACAACACATCTCTTGGAGCTTTAGCTCACCTCTCTGGTGTTGTTCTTGTATTCATTTGATTAATCTAGTTCTTGCCAGTTCTTCTTGAACTTCTTGGTAGATATCAAGTTTGTATTCTGTGTACATGACAGTTTGTCGAGACTTCACTCAATTTAGATATCAGAGCTAGTTCTTCTTTGTTAGAGTGTGGATTACCCCTCTACTTGGAAGTGTACTAGCATTTTAGAGGTTGCGGATTACCCTCCTCTAAATTGATACTTCTTTTGTTACAATATTGGAGTCTTATTCTTCTTGGAGAGAGTGGATTACCCCTTTTCATGAAGCTCTTAAGGCATTTTAGAGGTTGCGGAGTACCCTCCTCTAAACCAATATTGTCTTCTTGTAGAGTCATTTCTGTCCTTCTCTTAGAATGGCCGGGGGTCAAGACATTAGTATGATGGAAAGTTCAGAGTCCAAGTTAGATGCTATCATAAATGCCCTCACTATATTATCGCAAAGAACTGCAGAGATTGAAGGAGTCATGGCAAGGCTTCATAATGATGGAACATCTGGAATGGGACAATCTAGGTTGCACCAGCCTCAAACTTCTGCACTTGGAGAAGCAACTTTGCCTCATGTTCGACAAGCACCGCTGGTTCTACAACATAAGGAGCCCCGAGTTAGCCTTCCGGACAAGTTCGATGGTATGCGTTCCAAGTTTCGAGGATTCGTCAATCAAATCAGGTTGATAACAGTTTTACAACCCGAATGCTATCCAATGGAGGAGTCACGTGTTGGGCTTGTTGGAACCTTACTTACAGGGCAAGCTCTATTATGGTTTGCTCCTTTGTTTGAGAAACGATCGTCCATACTAAACAACTTTGAAACCCTTTTGGAGGCGTTTGCAGAAGCATTTGGTGAACACGATAAGGTTCAATGGACTACAACAAAGATCCGGTCACTACGACAAGGGATGCGTTCTACATCAATCTATGCATCGGACTTCAAGCAATTAGCATGCTACATCAATTGGGACGAAGAAGCGTTGATGAGTCAATTCTATTGGGGTTTAAGGGACGATGTGAAGGATTTATTGTTAACTCTTCCTGATCCGCAAACGCTCAACGAAGCTATTAGCCAAGCTGTGAAGTGCGATAACCGCCTATTCCAACGTCGCCAAGACCAACGTTCAAGACAACATACGATTCACCACATCCCAATTATGTCGGCAAGCAGCGTGAATTCACATTCAGTGGTAGAAGACATGCAAATTGATGCGATACGTGTCAAATCTCTTACTCTAGAAGAAAAAAATGGCGTATGAAGGAAGGTCTATGCTTGTATTGCGATGAAGAAGGCCACAAAGTTGGAAACTGTCCCAAGAAGCAAAATCGACGTATTATCAAGACTAGAGGTGCGTTTATTCAGGAAAACGAGGATGCCCAGCGACAATAGGAACTGTGCGGCTGGACAGTGAAATATCGCAACAACAACCAGGTTCCTTTCTTTCCGCTCAACCTGTCCTTTGTTTTACAATCCTTTTGTTTATTGGCCCTCAGAAACTGAAAACCTTAGCATTATTAGATTCAGAAGCATCTGCTTGTTTTTTAGACGAAGAATTTACGAAGCATCATAAGATCCCTTTAGTACAAAAATCCAAACCTGTTCACGTTGAGGTCATAGATGGACGACCTTTATTGTTTGGTAGTGTCACCCATAAATCAGAACCTATAGAAGTGACGTTTAAGGGCCATAATA